CTATGATTACTTTTTCAAAATTATATAATAAACATGCTACATAACATATAAACATATAAATTAACAAATATGAGATGTTTTTCTGGTCGGCTTGACAGAGTGAACAGGAATCATTCGTGTCCGGGCTGGTAACAACAACAACGTTTGTTTACATAATTCGCCAACCTTCTAACACATTCATTCGTTTATTCATTTAATCTTGTTTACTCACCTCTCACTCTACATTAAGACTACAGATATTTTAGCCCCTTCAGGGTCCAAGGCCCAAATCTGAAGAGGTGCCCCAGTGTCCCAAGAATTTAAAAAAAAAAATTTTTATTATTTTCTTAGAAATAGTAGAGAATCTTTTTGTGAAGGTAATAAAACAAAAAGTACGAAATTTGATGGAAAAACTGACGAAAATTATGCTTCTACGAATTTTGATGTGTCAGCGATATTTACGAATCGGCGATTTTGCCGACTTTGACTCCCATTTTAGGCCAAATTAACATTAGTCCAGTCAACCAAAATTCTTAGCTATTTCACTAGTATTACTTCTATTCTATCGATTGAGCACAAGAAATCGCCAAGTCAACTGTTTCAACTACAAATTAAAGTGATCGAAATTGTTAATTTGTCCAATTTAACACAAAGATCAAAATATTCCAGTTTCAAAATAGGGTCCAGAATAAACAATGTAGGTATTCCTGGAACTAAACTAACATTCCTCTATTCATTAGTTATGTTTTGAAGCTTTATAAATAAATTCCCATTTTGAATATTTTATTCACATAATGAATTTTTTATTCACACCAAAAAATAGAAGATTTACTATTATGCAATACTGTAATAATTGTATAAATATCATCACCATATTTGTGAATGCATATTAGACCCACCAGCTGGTGTGTATTAGACGTGTGAGGTCGTTTGTTTACTCTTGAATATCGGCAAAAATTTAACATTCTGCTACTTTGAGCTCGTTTCAGCCATTTCCAGTGTGAAAACCAATCAAAATCATCTCTATTTCTGTAATATGTCTTCCATTCTATCAAATGAGACCAAGAAATCGCAAATACAACTGTAAAAAACATACAAAAAAACACTGCAAAGTCGCTGTTTTAATCGAAAAATCATGATTTCAGTTTTTTTTCTCTCATTATACACAGTGTGCTGCAGGATCTGTTTTATGTGGTGCACACATACCACATAGATGTATTCTCTCATATCTAGGCCCAAATGTACCACTCACAGTTTATCAGAGTGAGCTGAGCTCATGACGTGGTGGCCCGCTGGCCTGGCGCTAAAGCTCCCGCTTCACACACGGAGGGCCCGGGTTTGATTCCCAGCGAGTGGAAACATTTCAACACGTTTCCTTACACCTGTTGTCCTGTTCACCTAGCAGCAAACAGGTACCTGGGTGTTAGTCGACTGGTATGGGTCGCATCCTGGGGGACAAGATTAAGGACCCCAATAGAAATAAGTTAGACAGTCCTCGATGACGCACTGACTTTCTTGGGTTATCCTGGATGGCTAACCCTCCGGGGTTAAAAATCCGAACGAAATCTTAACTTATCTTATGGTTTGGACCCTGAATGTAAAGCCGTAGATCTACAGGACAGACCCTGAAAGGGTTAAGGTAAGTAATGAGTGGACACGATTATTATATTATAGTTTAATAATAATAATATTATTAATATTAGTACATATGTATTATTGTAATACTAATAATAATAATTATTAATATTATTATTAATTTAGGGCACTGGAGCACAGATCCACTGTATAGCACTTTGTCTGGATTATTTGGGTTATCCTAGGTAATTTATACTATGTATGATAATTTTACTTACGTGTACCTGTGAGAGAGAGAGATACAGAGAGAGATACAGAGAGAGAGAGAGATACAGATACATGTAACAACAAAATGCAAGGAGGCAGTGGAAAGATTTATTCCCAAGGGCAAAAGTAACAACGGGAAGACCAGAACGAGCCCCTGGTTTACCCGACGGTGTAAGGAGGCAAAAACAAAGTGCAATAGAGAATGGAAAAAGTACAGAAGGCAGAGAACACACGAAAATAGGGAGATCAGTCGCAGAGCCAGGAATGAGTACGCACAGGTAAGGAGGGAGGCCCAGCGACAGTATGAAAATGACATACCATCGAGAATCAAGACTGACCCGAAACTGTTGTATAGCCACATCAGGAGGAAGACAACAGTCAAAGACCAGGTGATCAGAATTAAGGACAGAAGGTGAGAACTCACAAGAAATGATCAGGAGGAATGTGAGGAGCTGAACAGGAGATTTAAGAAGTTTTTTACAGTAGAGACAGGAAGGGCTGTGGGAAGACAGCACAGAAGGAACATCAAGAGGGAATATACCAACAAGTGTTGGATGACATACGAACAACTGAAGAGGAGGTGAAGAAGCTCTTAAGTGACCTTGACACCTCAAAGGCGATGGGACCGGACAACATCTCCCCATGGGTCCTTAGAGAAGGAGCAGAGATGCTGTGCGTGCCTCTAACCACAATCTTCAACACATCCCTTGAAACTGGGCAACTACCTGAGAAATGGAAGACAGCTAATGTAGTCCCCATATTTAAGAAAGGAAACAGAAATGAGGCACTAAACTACAGACCTGTCTCTCTGACATGTATTGTGTGCAAAGTCATGGAGAAGATTATCAGGAGGAGAGTGGTCGAACACCTGGTAAGGAACAAGATTATAAATGAAAACCAGCATGGTTCATGAAGGCAAATCTTGTATCACAAACCTCCTGGAGTTTTATGACAAGGTAACAGAAGTAAGACACGAGAGAGAGACGGGTGGGTAGATTGCGTTTTCCTAGACTGCAGGAAGGCCTTTGACACAGTTCCCCACAAGAGATTAGTGCAGAAGCTGGAGGATCAGGCGTATGTAAAAGGGAGGGCACTGCAATGGATAAGGGAATACCTGACAGGGAGGCAGCAACGAGTCATGGTACGTGAAGAGGTATCACAGTGGGTGCCTGTTACGAGCGGGGTCCCACAGGGGTCAGTTCTAGGACCTGTGATATTTTTGATATATGTGAATGACATGATGGAAGGAATAGACTCTGAAGTGTCCCTGTTCGCAGATGACGTGAAGTTGATGAGAAGAATTATATTGGACGAGGATGAGGCAGGACTGCAAAGAGACCTGGACAGGCTGGACATGTGGTCCCAGTAACTGCTTCTCGAATTCAATCCAGCCAAATGCAAAGTCATGAAGATTGGGAGGAGCAAAGAAGACTGCAGACAGAGTATAGGCTAGTGGACAAAGACTACAGACCTCACTCAGGGAGAAAGACCTTGGGGTGACCATAACACCGAGCACATCACGGGAGGCACACATCAACCAAATAACCGCTGCAGCATACGGGCGCCTGGCAAACCTGAGAATAGCGTTCCGATACCTTAATAAGGAATCGTTCAAGACACTGTACACTGTGTATGTTAGGCCCATACTGGAGTATGCAGCACCAGTCTGGAACCCACACCTGGTCAAGCACGTCAGGAAGTTAGAGAAAGTACAAAGGTTTGCAACAAGGCTAGTCCCAGAGCTCAAGGAATGTCGTACGAGGAAAGGTTAAGGGAAATGGGACTGACGACACTGGAGGACAGAAGGGTCAGGGAGACATGATAACGACATACAAGATACTGCGGGAATAGACAGGGTGACAGAGATAGGATGTTCCAGAGAGGGGACACAGGGACGAGGGGTCACAACTGGAAGCTAAAGACTCAGACGAGTCACAGGGACGTTAAGAAGTATTTCTTCAGTCATAGAGTTGTCAGCAAGTGGAATAGCCTAGCAAGTGAAGTAGTGGAGGCAGGAACCATACATAGTTTTTAAGAAGAGGTATGACAAAGCTCAGGAAGCAGAGAGAGAGGACCCAGTAGCGATCAGTGAAGAGGCGAGGCCAGGAGCTGAGTCTCGACCCCTGCAACCACAATTAGGCGAGTACAATTAGGTGAGTACAGAGAGAGAGAGAGAGCCACATTCAGTCAGCCAATCACCCACCCAGCCTCCACCCACCCACCCACCCACCCGCCAGCCAGCCAGCTACTTATTACACATGTTCCAGAGTTGTTTCTCTTTACTTAGGGTATAGGTTATACTACATTCTGGCAGGATAACACTACCAGTGGTATTCTCCCATTCCACTGTGTCGACAATACATAAAGATAACAGTAACATATGATACTGTATGCGATGTAAAATTTACAATACAGTTCACTACCATGTATACATTAAATACAGTAAATAAATAATTAAAATATAACAACAGAAGTAAATTATGGTAAAAAATGAAATAATGATTGTACATTACATTACAGTACTATGTAGGTAGTTTATATAGGAAAAGTTTGACATTATGCCCTACCCAGTATGTTGGGAATTTTCAAAGGTTCGACTTGCGTCCATTTTGACTTACGACCGGTTGGTCGGAACCAAGCTTGGTCGTAAGTCGGATGGTAGGTGTATATACTGTTCTGTATATTTGTACTTTACCTTATCACTGCCCTATTTTACCATTTACAATTTTCCAAATCTCTCTTACATTTTTTTTTTAATATCTGTTGTCAAATATCATTTTCAGTTTATTAATATCTGCTGTTGCATCACTACTTAAATTCACATCGTCTTTAATTCAGAACTGCATATTTTATTTTACTGTCTATTATAAACAACTTACATCAGATTTAGAGCAATTACAAGTCACAGTCTGGTGCTATATTATCTTATAATCTTGTCTTAATAACTTTATACTTAGTTAATACTTTAGTTCATAATGTACATTAGTTTTTACACTCTACTTGACCAACATACATTAACTACACACTTGTCCAAACATTCCTTTATTACAGATATCATTACTGGAACTCGACACAATATGTGAGAAATTATCTGGGTAAATTTACAGGTAGTGTCCAGAATTAACATTGTACCCCATAACTGTGAAGAAACTTTGGTACATCAAACAGTTTACACTTACTGATACTGATGTATCTCAGAGTCAAGTGGGAGTTTAAGGTCACCACGTCACAATAATGTTCCTCCTTTGTGTCCACCTTCTCAGTTCATCATATCTCACATGTCTGGAAATTAAATTATTATTAGGATATATATTTATTATTTTATTATCACACTGGCCGATTCCCACCAAGGCAGGGTGGCCCAAAAAATAAAAAACTTTCACCATCATTCACTCCATCACTGTCTTGCCAGAAGGGTGCTTTACACTACAGTTTTTAAACTGCAACATTAACCCTTTCAGGGTCCGTCCCGTAGATCTACGGCTTTACGTTGAGGGTCCAAACCGTAGATCAACGCCATGAGCTCAGCTCGCTCTGATAAACTGTGAGTGGTACATTTGGGCCTAGATATGAGAGAATACATCTATGTGGTATGTGTGCACCACATAAAACAGATCCTGCAGCACACTGTGTATAATGAGAGAAAAAAAATGAAATCATGATTTTTCGATTAAAACAGCAACTTTGCAGTGTTTTTTCGTATGTTTTTTATAGTTGTATTTGCGATTTCTTGGTCTCATTTGATAGAATTGAAGACATATTACAGAAATAGAGATGATTTTGATTAGTTTTAGCATTCGAAATGGCTTGAAACTGAGCTCAAAGTAGCGGAAATGTTAAATTTTTGCCGATATTCAAGAGTAAACAAACGACCTCACACATCAATACACGTCAGCTGGGGTCTAATATACATTCACAAATATGGTGATGATATTATATACAATTATTACAGTATTGCATAAGAGTAAATCTTCTATTTTTGGTGTGAATAAAAATTCATTATGTGAATAAAAAATCAAAATGGAATTTATTTGTAAAGCCTCAAAACATAACTAATGAACAGAGGAAATGTTAGTTTAGTGCCAGGAATGCCTACATTGTTCATTCTGGACCCTATTTTGAAATTGGAATATTTTGAACTTTGTGTTAAATTGGGCCAAATTAACAATTTCCGATCACTTTATTTTGTAGTTGAAAGAGTTTGACTTGGCGATTTCTTGTGCTCAATCGATAGAATAGAAGTAATACTAGTGAAATAGCTAAGAATTTGGTTGATTGGAATAATGTAATTGGCCTAAAAATGGGAGTCAAAGTCGGCAAAATCGCCGATTCGTAAATATCGCTGACACATCAAAATTCGCGGAGCATAATTTCGTCAATTTTCCACCAAAATTTCGTATTTTTTTGTTTTATTACCTTCACAGAAAGATTCTCTATGATTTCATAAGAAAAAATAACAAATTTTTTTTTGAAAATTCTTGGACCCCTGGTGCGTGACTCCAGATTTGGGCCTTGGACCCTGAAAGGGTTAACAACCCCTCCTTCAGAGTGCAGGCACTGTACTTCCCATCTCCGGGACTCAAGTCCGGCCTGCCTAGTTTCCCTGAACCCCTTCATAAATGTTACTTTGCTCACACTCCAACAGCACGTCAAGTATTAAAAACCATTTGTCTCCATTCACTCCTATCAAACACGCTCACGCATGCCTGCTGGAAGTCCAAGCCCCTCGCACACAAAACCTCCTTTACCCCCTCCCTCCAACCTTTCCTAGGCCGACCCCTACCCCGCCTTCCTTCCACTACAGACTGATACACTCTTGAAGTCATTCTGTTTCGCTCCATTCCCCTCTACATGTCCGAACCACCTCAACAACCCTTCCTCAGCCCTCTGGACAACAGTTTTGGTAATCCCGCACCTCCTCCAATTCCCAAAAGAATTCTCCTGCATTATATTCACACCACACATTCCCCCTCAGACATGACATCTCCACTGCCTCCAAAAATTCTCCTCGCTGCAACTTCACACCCATGTTTCACACCCAATTAAGAGGTTTGGTAAAACTATACTCTCAAAATTTCCCCCCCTTTTTCCCCTCCAAGGCAAAGTTCTTTGTCCCACAGACTCCTAAGTGCCCACTCATTTTTTTTCCCCTCATAAATTTCTGATTCACCTAAATTTTCAAAACCCCATCCACTGACACTCCCCCCCCAAATATCTGAAACATTCCCCTCCCATCTCTCCCCTCCAATTGATATCCAATTTTCTCCCCCAATCTTTTGTTTTCCCATAACCTTACTCTTTCCTGTATTCCCCTTTAATTTTCTTCTTTTGCACACCCTACCAAATTCATCCCCCAACTCTGCAACTTCCTTCAAAATCTCCCAGAGCCGGGTTCCCCAAAAAGAGAAAACTGTCAACTCCCACTTTATGTGTGTTTTTTATCTTTAACTCCACGCCTCTTGCCAAGCCCCCTCGCTTCACTTTTTTACAACCCCTCAAAAAAATATTTAAACAACCCATGGTGAACACACACCCTTTGTCTAAGGCCTTTTTTACGGGAAAAAATTTTCCCCCTCTTTCCTACATACTCAAACTTAGCCTCACTATCCTGTAAAAACTCTTCATGCTTTCAAACCACCCCTACACCATACACCTGCAACATCTCCACATTGCCCCTCTATCCACCCTGCATACGCCTTTTTAAATCCAAAATGCCACAAGACCCCTTTTCCTTATCTAAATACTGTTCACTTATATTTTCACTGTAAAAACCTGGTCCAACACCCCCTACCTTTTTTAAAGTCTCCCTTTTTCATCTGCTATCCTATTTCCTTTTTACTCTTAATTTTTTCAATAATAACTCTACCTACACTTTTCCGGGGATACTCAACAGACTTATCCCCCCATAATTTTGCACTTCTTTTTCCCCTTTTCCTTTTACAAAGGGAAAATGCATCCTCTGCCAATCCCTAGGTACCTTTCCCCTTTCATCATTTATTAAATAAAATTTCCCAACCCCTCCAAAAAAATATTCCCCACCTGCTTTTTAAAATTTCACTTTATCCCATCAAACCCCGGGTCCTTACCCCCTTTTATTTTTCCTACTGCCTTTACGAACTCCTCCACATCACAATGGCTCTTCTCACTCCTGCAAGATGTTATTCCTCCTTGCCCATACACGAAATCACGCTCCCATCTTCATCAAAATTTAACAATTCCTAAAATTTTCCCTCCTCTTCCCAATCCCCAAACCCATTTTAAAAACCTCCTCCCTATTTTAATACAAAAACCATTTGTTCTCTACTTTTTTTAACTTGTTAATCTCACTCCAAAATTTTTTTTATTTTCACAAAATTTGTTGATAACATCCACCCACTCTCTCATTTGCTCCTTTTTAAATTGCTTCACCACCTCTTAAAACCTCTCTCTTTTCTCCAAAAACTCTTCCCTCCTTGCATCACTTCACTTTGTAAAAACTTCCATATGCTAACTTTTTCTCCCCTTTCTACTCTCTTTACATCATCTTCCCCCAATCGCCCCTTCCCCCCTGCACCCACTTTTTCCTGTTTAAACCCCAAAATTCTGTTGAACACTCTAACCTACATTTTTTAAACCTACCCCATACCCCTTCGACCCCCTTGCCATCTCTCATTTGCCCCCCTATCCCCCAATAGTGTTTAAAATCTTACCCAATGCCCTCTTTTTGTTTATAAACCTTCACCCCCCTCTTTCCCCGAGCTTTTATTTTTCCTTGTATCCCATCTACCTTTTACTCTCAGTGTAGTACAAAAGAAAAAGATCTTTTTTTCTGTGGCCCCCCTATAAACATTACATCCGAAGCTACTCAACACTTTTTCCCCAAAACATAACCAACAAAACTGTCATTTCGCCCAACCTATCTTGTATACTTATTATCCTCTTTTTTTTTAAAAAAGTATTACCTATAACTAAACCCCTTTCTATACAAAGTTCAATCAAAGGGCTCCCATTATCATTTACACCTGGCACCCCAAACTTACCTACCACACCCTCTCTAAAAGTTTCTCCTACTTTAGCATTCAGGTCCCCTACCACAATTACTCTCACTTGGTTCAAAGGCTCCTATACATTCACTTAACATCTCCCAAAATCTCTCTCTCTCCTCTACATTCCTCTCTTCTCCAGGTGCATACACGCTTATTATGACCCACTTTTCGCATCCAACCTTTACTTTAATCCACATAATTCTTGAATTTACACATTCATATTCTCTTTTCTCCTTCCATAACTGATTATTTAACATTACTGCTACCCCTTCCTTTGCTCTAACTCTCTCAGATACTCCAGATTTAATCCCATTTATTTCCCCCCACTGAAACTCCCCTACCCCCTTCAGCTTTGTTTCGCTTAGGGCCAGGACATCCAACTTCTTTTCATTCATAACATCAGCAATCATCTGTTCTTGTCATCCGCACTACATCCACGCACATTTAAGCATCCCAGTTTTTATAAAGTTTTCTTCTTCTCTTTTTTAGTAAATGTCTACAGGAGAAGGGGTTACTAGCCCATTGCTCCCGGCATTTAGTCGCCTCATACGACACGCATGGCTTACGGAGGAAAGATTCTTTTCCACTTCCCCATGGACAATAGAAGAAATAAAGAAGAACAAGAGCTATTTAGAAAAAGGAGAAAAACCTAGATGTATGTATATATATATGCATGTGCGTGTCTGTGAAGTGTGACCAAAGTGTAAGTAGGAGTAGTAAGATATCCCTGTTATCTAGCGTGTTTATGAGACAAAAAAAGAAACCAGCAATCCTACCATCATGCAAAACAGTTACAGGTTTCTGTTTCACAGTCATCTGGCAGGACGGTAGTACTTCCCTGGGTGGTTGCTGTCTACCAACCTTACTTGAATATTATGCCAGTAACACTGACAATTTATAAGAGGACTGTATACTGTAATGTCAATTACTTGACCTTAGTAATCTGCTTGGGTAATTTTATATAAACATAAATCAATTACATACAGTGGAACCTCAAAAATCGAATGTATTACATATCGAACCTTTCAAAAATAGGACCATTTTTTCGGACAAACTGTGTCCCTATTATCGAACGCGCCCCTATTTTTGGACAGCTGGGTATGGGACCTGTCTGCCGCCCGCTCTGTTCGCGTCCCTGCGTAGACACCGTGAGCAGTCTAGCTTTGATTATGCTTGAGTGAATACTAACCTGCACTGTCATTCACGCATTTTACGATTATTTCGTTGTGTTTAGTGCTTGTGGGACTGTGAAATAAG